CTCCCCTTTTCCCAGACAAAACGCTCGTTTGGCGCGCGGGGGTGCGGATTTTAGGGGCAGGGGGCTGCAGAGGATCGGGGGGATGTCACCCACCCGGGGTGACAGCCACCCCCATGCGAAGCACGAGGCGGCGGCCGCGGCCCCACGGCACCACAGAGAGTGAACTTTTATTTCCAACAACGACAGCACCTGCCCCGTGGGGTGGGGACGGTGGGGAGGGCTGGGAGGGGGCGGCCGCGGGGGTCCCGGGGTTCGGGGAGGGGACGGGGGGAGGTCCCGGGGGGCGGCCGCTCGCGTGCACACGGTGCACGGCGTGAAAGAAACATCCCGGTAGAAAAGAACGAAGGTCTGAGGGCCTCGACGGCCGGTCCTGCCCCGGGCTGGGGGTGCAGGCGTGAGCGTGGGTGAGCGTTTTTGGGGGTTTTGGGGGGCGGCGCGGGTCCCCTCTGCACCCGCGTCCCGGAGGGAGTGGCAGGAGGAGGAACCGCGCGAGGATGGGTGGGGGGCGGCTCTCCCGGGAGAGAGAACGGGGGAAAACGGCTCCGGCCAGGCAGGGACCCCCCAGCCCCGGCTGCCCCCGGAGCGCGGAGCAAACCCAGCGCCCTCGGCTCGCGGGGCGGAGGCGGCGGCGGCGGCGGTGGCGATGGGCGCGGGGCTCACACCTCCGTCTGGAAGTCGCCGTCGGCCGCGTCCAGGCCGGCGCAGGGGCTGTCCCAGTCCGCCCGGCACAGCTCCAGCCGGTCCCGGTGGGCGCTGGGCAGCGAGCCCAGCGTCATCGCCTTGAATGTGCTCCATGGCTTGGGAGGCGCGGCCGGAGCTTTCGGCCGCTGCTCCTCGGGGCTGGTCACATCCTGCGGGGCGAGGGGAAGCTGTGGCCAGCGATGTCCGGTCCCGGGACACAGCCACCTCCAGCCCAGCCCGGGGATGAGACGGGGCCACCCCCGGTGCGAGTCGGGCACTTACGTTGGCCGCGTTCTTGTCCCCGCCGCCCGACGAGACGCTCCACCGCTTTTCTCGCTGCGGAAAAAGCCCAGCGCTCAGCCCCGGCAGCGCCCCTGGGTGTCCCCAATGTCCCCAGGGTGCCACAGTGCATGCAGGAGGAGGCGAAGGGTTCCAGGGGTGCAAACCGGGGCAGGRTGGGGCCTCCGGGACCTCACCTTGGAGGAGCCGGAGGACGGAGCCCGGTACCGGTCCAGCGTGTGGAATTTCTGGTTGAGCTCGTGGTAGAGCTCGGAGTGGCGTTTCCGTGTGTGCATCACCTTCTGCGGGGGCAGAGCAGAGCCTGTGGCCATCGCCGCTGCCCGCTGTCACTGCCCGCTGTCCCTGAGCGCTGCCCACTGTCCCTGAGCGCTGCCCGCTGTCCCTTGGCACTGCCCGCTGTCCCTTGGCACTGCCCACTGTCACTGCCCACTGTCCTTCAGCACTGCCCGCTGTCTCTTGGCGCTGCCCACTGTCACTGCCCACTGTCCCTAAGCGCTGCCCGCTGTCCCTCGGCATTGCCCGCTGTCCCTCGGCACTGCCCGCTGTCCCATGGTGCTGACCGCTGTCCCTCAGCGCTGCCCGTTGTCACTGCCCGCTGCCACTTGGCACTGGTCTGTGTCCCTTGGCGCTGCCCACTGTCCCTGAGTGCTGCCCGCTGTCACTGCCCGCTGCCCCTCAGCACTGCCAGCTGTCCCTCAGCGCTGCCCGCTGTCCCTCGGCACTGCCCTCTGTCACTGCCCGCTGTCCCTCAGCACTACCCGCTGTCCCTTGTCACTGTCCCTTTTCACTGTCGCCATCCCTGTCCCCCTCCTGCCTTCCCTGGGCACTCCAGACAGGCAGCAGAGCCCACTCCACGCTCATCACTCGTGTTTTAATCCACAGCCAGAGCTTGGGACTGCCTGCTCTAAACCCTCAGCGCTCAGCAGCTGCCCAAGGGCGTGGGGACAAACCGGGTCAGTGACCGGCGATGGCACTGGTGACACYGCCGTGGCAGGACTCACCTCAAAGTCCAGGTCAGAGTATCGCAACCTCTTCCTCTGGAGGGGGGACAGGCAGGAGCAGGGGGAGGAGATGGAGAAGAAAAGGGAAAAGTCTTTGCAGGSATATTCGGGATGAAGGGGAACAGGGTTTGGGGGCTCATGCCAGCCCCAATCCATGCCCGGCTGGGGGACACGGAGCTCATCCCAGCGAGGATGGGATGGCCAGGGGGGAGCACGGGGTTAATTCACGCAACTCTCCGCGTGTTCTGGCACACGCACCCCACCCCACACGCGTTCCCCGGGCACACCGGAGCCCCGCTCACCTCCAGGGACCCCACTTTCATGGCAGAGCCGGGCACGGTGCGGGGCATGGTGCGGCTGCGCTCCGACAGCTCCGAGGCCAGGATCTGCCTCACCGTGGGGTGCTGCTTGAACTGGAGGCCGTAGGGAGCCTTCACCGTGGCGTAGGGCTGGTTCAGGTTCACGTTAACGTGATCCACGGCCACAAAACCGGGGTAGGCGTCCCCTTCCGCCGCCGGCCGCCCCGTCCCGCCGGCCACCGCCTCCTCCGCGCCGCCGCCACCGAGCGTCCCCTCGTCCCGGGGGAAGGGYTTGAGGCTGCCGGTGCGGCGGGGCAGCATCATGTAGTCGCTCTCTCGCGGGGGCTCGGGGGCCCGGATCCAGCCGTATTCCAGGGGTCGCAGGCTGCTCTCCGTGCACAGGTAGACGGGACCCGGCGCCTCCAGGCCGAGCTGCTGCGCAGGCGGCTCTCCCAGCTCGGTCAGCCCCGCCACCACGTTGGGTGTCATTTTGGGCACCTGCACCAGGATGCTGGCCGGGGGGATGTTGCCGGGGAGGCTGGAGTAGCCCAGGCCGCCCTCCGAGGTGGTGTTGAGCTTGGGGTCTTCGTCSCCGTCCAGGGAGATGCGGGACAAGGTGCCCGTGATGGTGGCGGGGTTGCAGGTGTTCACCTCTTTGAACAGCACTGTGGGCAGGGATTGGGGTCAGAGCCACATCTGGGGGTCCCGCGGAGGGTGGGGGGGACACCGCAGCGACCCCCGTGTCCCTGCCGGGTGTGGCACGGTGGCGACAGAGGAAKGCTCTCACCTGTCTGACACGCCAGGTCAACGTCCTTTTCAAAATCTGTCTATAAAAATCCAGAAAGAGTGGAAAGAGCGAGASAGAGAGGAGAGAAAGAGAAGGACAGAGACGGGGAAATGAAGCAGCGCGGCCGGCGCAGGAGGCGGCGGGGTCTCCAGGGGGGGCCCCACTCACCAGGATCTGCACCTGCCCGTTCTTGCAGGAGTCGGGCGAGTTTTCATTCTCCTCGCTCCTGCACCCCCCCATCTGACACTTGACCACGTCCTGGACCTGCGGGGACAGAGCCGGTCACGGCCCCGCGGCCAGGGCTGTCCCCCGGCACCCCTCCGGCGCCGCCCCACCTCTCGGCGCAGGAAGCCGTGCACGGTGATGATGACGAAGCCCTGGACGGAGTTGAAGACGGCGAAGAGGACCTGGAAGAGGATGGAGCGCCGGTCGGTCATGGCGAGCACGGCCGACATCCAGGTCAGCGCCAGCAGAGGCAGGACCACGCAGGAGCTCCACAGCGATGCCCTGGCGCAGGGAGAGAGGGGCCGGGGTGAGCCCGAGGGGCGGGGATGCCCCCGGGGACAGCCCCCCGAGCGCCGCCCCCCGCCCCGCAGCAGCCCCCCGCCCCGAGCGCCGCCCCGCGCCCCGCAAGCACGGCCGGGGCTGTGACACCCGGCTGTCCCCTCGTCCTCGGTGTCCCCGGCTGGGAACCGAGGAGTGAGGGGACCTGCGGGCTGCAGCTCCCCACGCGTGTCGCTGTCCCCGCGCAGCCACAGGGAGCTGGGGGGACGCGGGGCCACGGTCACCCTCCCGCGGCGGCCAGAACAGCACAGAGGTTTGTTTGGGTTTTTTTTCTTTCTCATTTTTTAGCAGTGAGTTTTGGAGCCGCCTCTGTCACGAGTGGGGACCTCGGCAGCCTCTGGCACGTCTCCCGGGGGAGGAGAAAGGGAGAATCCTTCCTCTCGAGGAGGATCCTTCCTCTCGCGCCAGGAGGAGGGTCCCGGGGACACCCCCTCCCCTCTCCCCCAGCCCAGAAAAGCCCCCCGACCCCAGCGATGAGGTGACCTGCCATGGGAAGCCATGCCATGCAGACGTGATGGGACACGCGCACCCCGCCCCGAGCACACAGCGTCACCCTTCCTTCCCCCTCGGGGACCCCCAAAACCCACCCCAAACCCCCCTCTCCGGACCTCCCCAAACCCTCCCCGCGCTGTGCTCGGGGCGGGGGGCGCGGCGGGCGCGGGACGGGCACTAACATGGCACTGCTGGCGGTGGCGGAGGTCATGGCCGCGCTGGACACCACGCCGCACTTGGTGCATTTCAGCAGCAGGCTGCCGCACGGGGGGGGCTCGGAGCTAGCGAGCCCACCGCCCCCCCGGCGCCCCGCGGCCAGGACCGGGCCACGCGGGGTGGGAGGGGGGAGATGCAGGCACGGGGGGGAGGGGGAGAG